TCCCTATACAGGGCTGCCTTCAGATGTCCTCTAAAGGTTTTTAAGTTACTTATCTCCTTGGCTCGGGGGTCGCTGAACTCCATACCCTTTCTCCAATGAATGCATATTATATATCTCTGTCCCTTTGAAGTGAAATAAAATATCTGTAGAAAGAGCAAACAAAAAGAGATCAGATCAGGAAAATCTTTATTTGCATCAGCCACTAGTCATAACAATAAAATGAAATATACTGAAGATAGAGGTAAAAACTTAACAATACAAAATGCATTTTGGAGGTTTACTTCAATAATTAAATAATAGATTTTGTTCTAATTGCCCCCTGCTAAATAAAACTTGCAGTTTTTGCTGTCATCTGTCACAGGGGTGGCCAACTCCCAAGAGACTGCGATCTACTCATGGAGTTAAAAACTGGCAATGATCTACCCTCTTTTTTGGGGTTCAGGTCAAAGTTGTTGAGCTTCTTTGAGGGGAGTCAGTGATCTATCAGCGATCTACCACAGACGTCCAGTGATCTACTGGTAGATCATGATCTACCTGTTGGACGTGCCTGGAAGAAGAAAGGGCACAGTAGCAATAGGTACACCACTGAGCCTAGGATCGGAAGGTCGGTGGTTCGAATCCCCGCAATGACGGGGTGAGCTCCCGTTGCTCGGTCCCAGCTCCTGCCAACCTAGCAGTTCGAAAGCACGTCAAAGTGCAAGGAGATAAATAGGTACCACTCTGGCGGGAAGGTAAATGGCGTTTCCGTGCGCTGCTCTGGTTTCACCAGAAGTGATTTAGTCCTGCTGGCTACATGACCCAGAAAAACTGTCTGTGAACAAACGCCGGCTCCCTTGGCCAGTAAAGTGAGATGAGTGCCGCAACCCCAGAGTTGTCCGTGACTGGACCTAATGGTCATGGGACCTAATGGTCCTTAAGGTAAAAGTAAAGGGACCCCTGACAGTTAAGTCCAGTCGTGGCCGACTCGGGTTGTGGTGCTCATCTCACTTTATAGGCTGAGGGAGCCGGCGTACAGCTTCTGGGTCATGTGGCCAGCATGACTAAGCCGCTTCTGGTGAACCAGAGCAGCGCACGGAAACGCCATTTGCCTTCCCGCTGGAGCAGTACCTATTCATCTACTTGCACTTTGATGTGCTTTTGAACTGCTAGGTTGGCAGGAGCAGGGACTGAACAATGGGAGCTCACCCCGTCACGGGGATTCGAACTGCCGTCCTTCCTATTGGCAAGCCCTGGGCTCTGTGGTTTAGACCACAGCACCACCTGTGTCCCTACCTTAAGGAAAATCAAATTGCAAACTTGGGACGGCTTCTGCAAACCCGGCCCAGAGTGTCACTGAAAAACGGGGACACTTGGAGGTCTGCAGAGAACCGTCTTCTTGGCAGCTTGACCTCTTCCCCTCCATGTGATGGAGCCTGCAAGGAAAGTTAGAAGCAGAGAAATAGCCGGGCACTTAAAGTTCAGGGAAATGGAACAGGTGTTTCGTGGCAAGATGTGCTTCCCTAATGATGCCATGTCACTGCCACTGCCAGCTCGCCTTAATTCCCAGTCTCCCTCCCTCCAAACTTCCAATGATTCCAGCTTCATCAAACCTGTTGCTAGCCTGCTTTTTTCCCTCCCTTGCCCCCCCTCTTTTCCTACCCCTCCCACCCAGGGTGGGAGGAGACTCTTATTCTGAAAGAGAGGCTACTATATCTATGATGTAATCTGCGCCTTTGCACAGATGAGAGAGGAGAGGGTGGGTAGCTGAAAACTTACTGGTTGCATTAAAAGAGGGGAAGGGGGGGCAGAGAATCAGCATGGCAGCCCCTCCCATATGCCCCTCTATAAAAAGCGGGGGTTCTCCGGCTCGGGCTGTCTTTCCGGAGCTCTGAATTGCAAAGGTGCCTTGAGAGAGAGAGAGACGCAGGTGAGGTCTGGATTCTGTGCCTTTTCTTTCTTTGGGGAATGGGAAGAAAGGGAATCAGGCGGGCAGGGAGGGGAGAGGGGAGGGGGGGTTGCATCTGCCCCCACCGCAGCTGTTTCTGATCTCCCAGGCAAGTGCAGAAACTCAGGATGGAGAAGCCACCTGTGGACTTGCCAGGAGAAAAGTTGCAAGCGTCTCCTCTTGCAAAAGATCCCTCTCCATCGCTCCTTCGCATCCCTTCCCACAGCCTCCACCTTTCTCCTGTCCATTAAGGCTGCAAAATCCCTCCTCCAATCTGGACATTTTGGGGGGCGGGTCAGCCTCTGGGGTTGGGTGTCCTCTTGTGTGGGGCACAATTTGCAGCAGTTGTTGGGGGTGCAGGAAGGAAGGAATGTCCTGGTATTCTGGCGCTTGTCTGTTTTGTCTCTTAATATCCGCAGGAATCGGAGGAGAGGGATCAAAATGATGGGCTTCTCCTCTGTTTGGTTCCCCAGGGGTGTAGGAAGAGAGACTGGGCGGTGCAGTGGTTAGAGGGTTGGGACTAGGGTTCGAATCCCCCACTTGGCCTTGGAGGGGGGGTGAATGTTGGGGTCCCATCACGTCCTCTCAGCCTAACCTACCTCACAAGGTTGTTGTAGGGATCAAATGAGGAGGGAGGGGGAGAACCACGTACAGTGGTACCTCGGGTTACAGACGCTTCAGGTTACAGACGCTTCAGGTTACAGACTCCACTAACCCAGAAATAGTGCTTCAGGTTGAGAACTTTGCTTCAGGATGAGAACAGAAATCGCGTGGTGGCAGCAGGAGGCCCCATTAGCTAAAGTGGTGCCTCAGGTTAAGAACAGTTTCAGTTTAAGAACGGACCTCTGGAACGAATTAAGTTCTTAACCCGAGGTACCACTCTAATGGAGAAGTAAAAGATTTGGATGATCATAAAAGATGCAGGAGGCAATGATGAATAACAGGATCCTCCACAAAGGGAAGGAGGGAAGTCCAGGAGATTCTTTGGAATCTTGTTTTTATGATCTATGTTCAATATACAACTGGAAAGTTTTAATCTGCAAAACCAAATAAATAAATGAAACAAATATATATTCTAGATGAAACAAAGAATGGAGGTCCACACATTGTCAGGCTTCATTACAGTAGAAGATGGGGCCGGTTTTGGGGTGTGTACGGTTGGAATTTGTTAAAATTGGGCCAACTCTTCCACCTTTTCTTTCCAAGGAAATCAAAGCGGAGTACAGTGGGACCTCAGGTTAAGAACTTAATTCGTTCTGGAGGTCGCCGCCACGCGATTTCTGTTCTCATCCTGAAGCAAAGTTCTTAACCCGAGGTAATATTTCTGGGTTAGCGGAGTCTGTAACCTGAAGCATCTGTAACCTGAGGTACCACTGTATATCCAAAATTAACCGTTAAACTACAAGTGTTATTCCAACCCTAGTAACCATTTTAACTGTTCACAATGGTTTTTTAAGATAAATTATAATTTCCCCCCATTCTTTATTAAAATTTTGGTCTTCCTGATTTCTAATTCTTCCCGTCATTTTAGCCATTTCGGCATAAACCAGTAACTTAATCTGCCATTTTTCTCTGGTTGGGACTTTATCTTCTTTCCATCTCTGGGCCAATAACATCCGCGCAGCTATGCTCCTAGCGCTTTCTGGAAACTCCAAGAATTGAACTCAGTGCTTTCTGGGTACAAAGCCATAGCTCTGCTGCTGAGTTACGTTCATTTCCTTGGAAAAAAATAAACTAAAGCAAGATTTCAGTCCACATGACTTTGAAAGAAACGGCTGGTTTAAATAGGAATACAGTGGCACCTTGGTTCTAAAACTTTTTTAAAAAAATTTTTATTGTTAAAATAATTCAGCATTAATACACACATATTGCAAATATACAAGCATACAAACATAAATTTTATACAATCCTTAAAAATGTTCAAACATACCTACACTCAATCCCACAGCTAATTCCTTTTCCCATCACCATCCACCACCCCTCACCCTTTGTGTTAGACTTCCAATCTACTCAATTGCAATTTCTTTCCACTTCTATTACTTTCTTTCACACACCTTAACCTAATTTCATGCTTCTTTTTCTATTACACATTGTTATCCATCTTATTTAGTATTTCAGTATTTAAAACGGAACTTGTTTATTCTAATAGGAGTTCTGATTTTTAGATATGGTTTTGCAAGTATCCTATAAACACCTTCCAGTCCCTTTCTATCTTCTCTTTTGAGATCCTTCCAATTTCTCCCATTGTTTTGGATATATTGTAGTACTTGGTTCTAAAACTTAATCCGTTCCAAAACCAAAGTGTTCCAAAACCAAGGCGTGCTTTCCCATAGAAAGTAATGCAAAACAGATTAATCCAGACTTTTAAAAACAAGCCCTAAAACAGCATTTTAACAGGAATTTTACTGTCTAACGAGACCACTGATCCATAAAAATGAAAGCAATAATCAATGTACTGTACTATAAAATAAATAAGACAATATTGTAGATGATAAAAAGTTATTATTTAAAAAATTTCTGACCTGCACTGATGATAGTCATTGTTTAGATGGGGGGCTTTTATCTATTTCTGCAGTCACACAATCAAGCAATCAGTCAGTAGCTGAACTGGATTCCACACAGTCACAAAAACAAATTAACCGAAAATGCCTCAAAAACAGAAACGCAAAGTAAATAGCAAAAACAAAAGCACCAAACTTAATCCATTCCAGAAGTCGGTTTGACTTCCGAAATGTTCGAAAACCAAGCCGCAGCTTCTGATTGGTGCAAGTGCCCCGGAAACAATAGCTGACCGCCACATCGGACGTTCAGCTTCCGAAAAATGTTCGAAAACCGGAACGCTCATTTCCGGGCTTTTGGGATTTGGGAACCAAGGCGTTTTGAGTAGCAAGGCATTTGACAACCAAGGTACCACTGTATAGTAAACTGCCCTCTGCCAGGTCAGACCATTTAACCCAGTTGTGTGTACACTGACTGGCAACAGTTTCAGGCAGGTAGTCATAGAATTGTAGCGTTGGAAGGGATCCTAAGGATCATCGAGTCCAGCTCCCTGCAATGCACGAATCTTGTCCACAGCTGTCCCTAGCTGGGCTCGAACCACCAATCTTCTGGTTAACAGCCAAGCACACTAACCCGCTGCGCTACCAGGAGTTGCCAGGGATTGAACCTGCAACCTTCTGCATGTAAGGCTCTCTCACTGACCTATACAGCCCCTGAAATGCTCCTCTTGATCAAGTGGGATCTAGTCTGCGAAAATGTCTACCATCATATACGGGCATGAACTGTGATGATTAGAATTATAATCCCGATGATAAATTAATAACATGTTTCAAAATGCATCTTTTTTTCCAAAAGAGCTTAAGAACAGCTCATCTGTTTACTCAGAGGTAAATTGTTGTATCTCAGACAGAAGGTACGTGAGCTTACAGCAGCCTGACCCGCTGCTGTGCGACAGGTCAACTGGGTTAGCTCCCCAAAGTGAAGATGATGAATAAAGTTCCAGGTTTCACTCTGCTCTTTTCTCTTCAGGAGAAAACGAGGCCGAAATTGTGTGCGCGTCCATCTCCGAAATAATATTGATGATGCAATGCTTCATAGAGACAAGCTTAGGAGGTTTTTTATTGACGATGGGAGACTTTGTGATTGCACAGAGCTCTGCCTTCGGCCAGTGAGACTGGCCAAGAGTTCTGTGGAAAGCTGCCACCACACCCCACAGGAGTTGGCCCCAAACAAATTATGACCTTGTACAGTGGTACCTCAGGTTAAGTACTTAATTCGTTCCGGAGGTTCGTTCTTAACCTGAAACTGTTCTTAACCTGAAGCACCACTTTAGCTAATGGGGCCTCCCGCTGCTGCCATGCCGCTGCCGCGCGATTTCTGTTCTCATCCTGAAGCAAAGTTCTTAACCCGAGGTACTATTTCTGGGTTAGTGGAGTCTGTAACCTGAAGCGTATGTAACCCGAGGCACCACTGTATTACATTACAGTGGTACCTTGGTTCTCGAACGGCTTGGCTCCTGAACAAATTGGCTCCCGAATGCTGCAAACCCGGAAGTAAGTGTTCCGGTTTGCGAACGTTTTTCGGAAGCTGAACGTCTGATGCGGCAGGAAGCTCCTGCAGCCAATCGTAAGCCGCGCCTTGGTTTCTGAACGGTTTCGGGAGTTGAACGGACTCCTGGAACAGATTAAGTTCAAGAACCAAGTTACCACTGTATTATTATTATTATTATTCTTATTATGGTCCCGTCTCAGGGACCTACCGTATTTTTTGCTCTATAAGACTCAATTTTTCCCTCCTAAAAAGTAAGGGGAAATGTGTGTGTGTCTTATGGAGCGAATGCAGGCTGCACAGCTATCCCAGAAGCCTGAACAGCAAGAGGGATTGCTGCTTTCACTGCGCAGCGATCCCTCTTGCTGTTCTGGCTTCTGAGATTCAGAATTTTTTTTTTCTTGTTTTCCTCCTCCAAAAACTCGGTGCGTCTTGTGGTCTGGTGCGTCTTATAGAGCGAAAAATACGGTAGTTCAGCATTGACCCCAAAGACAGCTTGGCAGAGGGGTAGATCTGGGAAAAATGAGGCCAGATTAAGACTGCAAAGAAGTGTCAGGAAGACAGGATAGAGAAAAGCTGTCTACATGCAATAATTTTCATTTTATCTAGGTAGAACTGGTAGACCACACTGTCCTTGTGGAAGGGTCATCGTTCGGTGCAAAGCCCCTGCTTTGAATGCAGAATGACCCAAGGTTCGACCCTTGCTGACACCTCCAGGTAGCGCTGGAGGAGAGAGAGAGACCCGCCTTCCTGAAGCGCTGGAGGGCAGCTTCCAGTCAGTGCAGACAACACTGAACTAGGGGGACCCACAGTCTGACTCGGCAGCACCCCATTTCCTATCCCACCCTTTGTAATATTTATCAGCTCTACAATTATATCTGTTGGAAACCCTGCTAAAATTTGCAGTCACCCTCTTATGTCCTTTTTCATTTTGGTTGTTTAGTCGTTTAATTGTGTCCGACTCTTCGTGACCCCCTGGACCAGAGCACGCCAGGCACTCCTGTCTTCCACTGCCTCCCGCAGTTTGGTCAAACTCATGCTGGGAACTTCGAGAACACTGTCCCACCATCTCGTCCTCTGTCGTCCCCTTCTCCTTGTGCCCTCCATCTTTCCCAGCATCAGGGTCTTTTCCAGGGAGTCTTCTCTTCTCCTGAGGTGGCCAAAGTCTTGGAGCCTCAGCTTCACGATCCATCCTTCCAGTGAGCACTCAGGGCTGATTTCCTTCAGAATGTATCCATTGATCTTCTTGCAGTCCATGGGACTCTCCAGAGTCTCCTCCAGCACCAGAATTCAAAAGCATCCATTCTTTGGCGATCTGCCTTCTTTATGGTCCAGCTCTCACTTCCATACATCACTACTGGGAAAACATAGCTTTAACTATACGGACCTTTGTTGGTAAGGTGATGTCTCTGCTTTTTAAGATGCTGTCTAGGTTTGCCATCGCCTTTCTCCCAAGAAGCAGGCGTCTTTTAATTTTGTGGCTGCTGTCACCATCTGCAGTGATCATGGAGCCCAAGAAAGTGAAATCTCTCACTGCCTCCATTTCTTCCCCTTCTATTTGCCAGGAGGTGATGGGACCAGTGGCCATGATATTCATTTTTTTGATGTTGAGCTTCAGACCATATTTTGCGCTCTCCTCTTTCACCCTCAATAAAAGGTTCTTTAATTCCGCCCTTTTTCATACATGAATACTAACGGAGGGAGCGATCAGGGTCTTTGACCACACAGCCCAGTAATCGTCTGCTCCCGATGTGACTGGACTGCTACTCCTAGTAGCCAGCTTCAGGGATGATGGGAGTTGTAGTCCAACGACATCTGGAGGGCCACAGATGTTTCCCATCCCGGCCCCCAAGGAAACTCTCTCTCCCTCTGAGTAATTGCAACCCACTCGCCTGCGACGATCAGGGATGATTGAGCTGTGATTCCTGCATTGGGGGTTGGGCTAGTTGACCTTTGGGGTCCCTCGCGACACCTGCAATTCCACAAATCTACGAAAGCTCTGCTCTGGATACTGGTGATATTATTATTTAATGGCAAACTTTTCATGTTGGTGACACGCTTTTGAGGCATACATCATTTTGCAACACGGTAATTCAGTTTTACTAGCAAACCAGAGGTTAAATTAACCTTTTCCCAGGCCCCTGGGGAGCGCAGGGGGCGTTTGCACGACACGCCTGCACGCTGCAGCCGACACACGAATGTGTCGCGACAGTTCGGAAAGCTCTGATCTAGCTAATCACCAAATGGCACCTTAAACCTGGGCTGCAGCTGCGACAATGGAATGTGTAGGCACCTCTTCCCCCAATGGCAATTATTATTATTATTAATCTCATTTCTATACCACTTTGCATTTTAAAGAAAAAAGTGTCAAAGCAGTTTACAACACATTGAAACATCCAGTCATACAATCCACTTAGATCTAAGTGGAATTAGAAGGTCAAATTTACATTCTAAGTTAAACTAATTTAAGAGAATATATATATATATATATATATATATATATATGTGTGTGTGTGTGTGTGTGTGTGTGTGTGAAGTTAAATCTGTAATGACATTAATGATTTCATTAATAAAAGATACAATGGCAAAAAAAGAAAAAAGAAACATCCGATCCAGAATAAAACAAATTCAAGCTCCAAGGGAAAAAAATTGGGTCCTTTGGCTCCCCCCTCCCCTATTTATTTCCCTACTTAATTTATAGAGCTGCCCCATAGCAGAAGCACTCTAGGAGGGCAGTGTGGTGTAGTGGTTAGAGCAGGCATAGGCAAACTCGGCCCTCCAGATGTTTTGGGACTACAACTCCCATCACCCAAGCTAACAGGACCAGTGGTCAGGGATGATGGGAAATGTAGTCCCAAAACATCTGAAGGGCCAAGTTTGCCCATGCCTGGGTTAGGGTGTCAGAGTAGGACCTGGGAGATGAGGGTTCAAATCCCCCTTCTCTCATGAAGCTTACTGGGTTGACCTTGGAGCCAGTCACAGTCTCTCAACCTACCTCATAGGGTTGTTGTACGGATTAACTGAGGAGGGGGGTGAACCATGGACTCCTTGGGGAAAAATATAGGAGATAAATGCAATAAATAAGCTCTTCTCCTTATCTGCTTAAGAAAGCTGGAGGGGCCGGCCAGATGGAGATGTCAGTCGCCAGCCTGGTATCCGGGAATCTACACATGGTTGCAATCGGACCTGCAGTTGCAAAACACACCTGGTGCTTGGGGAACTCCTGACGCTGCGAATATGAGGTAAGGTGACCTTGCAGGTAAATTGGTCGCATGTTGTTAAGGGCTTTATATATTAATAGTATGACGTGGGTGGCGCAGCGGGTTAAACCACAGAGCCTAGGGCTTGCCGATCAGAAGGTCAGTGGTTCGAATCCCCGCGACGGGGTGAGCTCCCGTTGCTCGGTCCCTGCTCCTGCCAACCTAGCAGTTTGAAAGCACACCAGCGCAAGTAGATAAATAGGTACCGCTCCAGCGGGAAGGTAAACGGCGTTTCCGTGCACTGCTCTGGTTCGCCAGAAGCGGCTTCATCATGCTGGCCACATGACCCAGAAGCTGTACGCTGGCTCCCTCAGCCAATAAAGCGAGATGAGCGCCGCAACCCCAGAGTCGGCCACGACTGGACCTAACGGTCAGGGGTCCCTTTACCTTTTAACACCTTGAACTGCCTGCTAGCCAGTTCGGAGTTCTAGCAAGCCAACCATCCCAACTTGCAGTATACTGTAAACCCTAGACTGGCTCCCCTGTGGGTGCAATTATGCCCTTGGGGCTTTCCCTCACTGCCCAAAAAGCCTCTGAGCCCCTCCCCTCCCCGCTGCCCCCTTTTGCCATGAGAAGGTGAGCGTGGCTACATTTCTCTCCCCACCACAGGTTAGAAAAGTACATAGAGGTAGACTCTACACACATATAGCTGTGGGGGGGAAATTTTTAAAGAAAAGTTTTGAAAATTACATTGAATTTTGCATAGCTCACCTTGCATAGTGTCACCTTCGTATATTGCACATTTAAAACGTTTTATTCGCAGCTGTGTGGCTGAGTCTAGAGTTGACAGAGGAAGATGGGAAGAGTGGCGCACTTCCTCTTTCAGCTCTGTGGGCTT